AGAAGTGCAAAAACGCATAATCGCACCGGCCCGCCTGGTGCGTTCCAGCCTGGGTTTTTTTTTTTTCGCAAAATAGTTGATGGGGAAAAAATGTACTATTAAGATGGGGGTTTTTGTGTTGGTGATGAATGCCGTGTTTGCCATGAAATATCTGAAACAACAGAGTAAATTCTTGTTTTTTATGAAAGATAAACGCTTCTGCAGCGAATTCGAATGAAATAATTCTCATTTTCAATAATTTGTTTCTTCATTTCCAGACGATATTTGTGTGACGCTATCGCTGCAGTTTGTGCCAGCGTTACGATCGGTTGCTGTGATGACAAAATTGAACCGAACACCATCTTCATTTTACGGGTACTTATCTTTATGAGCTTTGCCGATATTAGTCTTATGTTCACTTAATAAATATTACCGGTTTATGGCAATGACCTTTTTAACCTATTTAATATTTATTCCTTACAACGGGTGAAGTTTTAAGTTCAGTACTCAAAAATATATTTTTAGTAAATCAACGTTTTATCTTCCATTTTCACTGCGCCATTTTTTACGTTCCCGTTTCGATAGTTTTATGAAAAATAATTTTGTCTGGGTGATGCAAGTGATAGCAATACTACTGCCTGTTCTAGTTCTTTTTAGAAGTGTTTTATTCGATGAATCTCATATTGGTGGCATATTTGACGATGAAGATGGAGGTAAATGCTTGAACAGTACTGCGCAGGCTAAACTTGATCAATTAGGGTACGCTATTTTGAAATTGTTTTTTTATTCTTTTTGTAAAATTTTTATGATTTTGTCAAGTTCATATTTTGTAAGATAATTTTAAGCATCTGTTTCAATAATTTGAATCGAAAATCATAGTGCTTCCGCTAGTAACACTGTTCGGTAAATTCCTTTAATAAGAAAAATGAGAATTTTTATTGCATCAACTAGTTTTTCTCGATTTTTGATTTTGGATTGATTTTTGTTTTGTTCTACGATTAATTTCGGGATACTTTTTCCTTGTTTTCAGATTTTACTTGTATTTTTAAATTGCATCTTCGGTCAAGAATTTAGTTGTTCAGAGCATTTTGGTTAAAATATCAGTCATTGAATTTCTTTCATAAATTAGTTGTGTACTGGTCTTTTTTGTCCCCGTTTATTTTTTGACCGCTAGCTGATATGTATCCTACAGAATATCGGTGGCCGATGTCGAAAATAAAGTTGGGCATTTTTATCAATTCGCACAACGAATGGCAGGTTTGTCGAAAGATACGCCTCCAAATTCACGGCTTTCGGATGTCATACATTCGGTGGTTGGAAAGATCCGGTCTTTTGTGCGTGCAAGAGCTGCGCTTTCACGGATAACCCATTCATTGCGTACGCTTAAACGTTTTTATTTGCTGAGAATTTTTGCTTTAAAATCGCCTGTCTTTTACGCATACACCCTCCTGGACATTTCCATCTTGGCAAAATGATAGCACTTTTTGTAACTGTTATAGCCCAAAATGCGTTAGTTAGCGCTTAATCTGTTAAATTTGGTCTTCGTTATTCTGTTTTCCGCTTTTTATTCTACCTCGAGAAATGCGAGATGTATTGCTTTTCAGATTGATGGGGCTATTAATAATTCTGCCTGAATTGCTTGTGGTTGTCGGAGCCATGAATTTTCTTTTTCAAAAAGGATTAAAAATTCGCAATTTTTTTTTTAAATTGCCTGAAGCAAAATTTATATATTTTTTTAAGTGTAGGCTTCAGTGAAAATAGCTTTGAATTTGACCGAATTGCAGACGCACTGAAGCTTTTCGAAGAACTGAAAGATACAAGTTATTATCCAACAAATGTTTGTGCAAAGCTCACGGATTTTCGAATGATTACCGCAGAACAGTTCTTTGTAAGTTACTGATACTTTTCTCACAGCCTTTCTATCACAGAGTACCTTTGCTCTTTCGACGCAGCTGGCCATCTTTTCATAGTTTCTGCAGCCAAAGTTACATCACTTAATGCTATGTGTGTTGCTGTTCATCGTAATGCTCGTTATCCCGGTGCCTTTTTCGCTGCCGCTGGGAAGTATTAAATGAAATAAAAGATTCCGAGCTTCCGATGAAAGGAAACTTACAAGCCCATTTCCCCAAAGTTTTAATTCAACACAATAAAATAATAAGTTTTTTCTGCATAGCTAAATCGATCTTTTAGCATCTT